GTGTGTGTGGGGTATTCCTCCACCCTGAGGCCCTAGCACCTTCAGGAGTGTGTGTGTATGTGGGGTGGGGGGGGGTGTTCCTCCACCCTCAAGGATCACACAGGTCCAGATGGCAGGCTGCTTCTTCGGTGGGGGGCAGAGGAGGGAAGGGGATAGAGACTGCGAGAAAGCTAACAACCAGCTCCCTTGTCCCCCCCCCCAACACACACCCCTCCCTCCCAACTTGGCACCACCAAGTGGCCATCAGTTGAGGGGCCAAGGGGATGACAGTGGGGAAACATGGGACTGTATTGTGAAGCACTAGCACACATGGACCCCTGGACCTTCTGTTGCCTGTTCCCCAACAGATGGCATCTGGGGTGGGGGTGGGGTGGAGGATTGAGCCCAGGGAAGGAAATGGATTCTATTCCGGCCTCCAGTCATTGCTCATTCCAGGGGGATGTGTCCGACGTCGCCTTCTGGGACCCATCACTATCCAGGGCCCCAAGAAAGGCCCCTGCCTGAAACCTGGAGAAATAATAGGAGGCGGCGGGGTAGTGCCACCGGAGCCACAGGACACCTGTGTCTAACAGCTCTGTAAGACGTTCTTCCTTGGGTGGGCACTGGGGCAGCAGTCTCCCCCCAGCTTACGGGGGTCACTTTGCTCCCCCCTGCCTCCACATGATAGCAGCCCCCCCTCTCGCCCCCGGAGAACTGAGGTACATACCCCAGGACCTTTTCTATGTCCAGGCAGAAGCCCCAGAGGACCCTTGAGGGACAGCAGATTGCTTAGATCCTGGTCTCAGAGCTGGGAAGGAGCTTGGGTAGATGGAGGACCATGTGTCCATCTGACGGAGGGGAGGGAAGGCAGGGCGAGGCTCAGGCCTCCTGATCAGACAGACTGGTGCTTTCCTGCCTGTGCTGTTTGATCCAGGTGAGAGAGGCACCCCCTCCCTGAGCCTCCCCCCAGAGAACTCAGAGACTTGTGCCTGTTTCCTCATCCCTGCTCACACCAATTTTCCCAGCCTTTGGTGGGGAGCCCAGAATACTACACTGTGGGGTGGTGATGCCCTCTGGTGGCCATGAGTCACTTGACAGAAAATCTTCAAACCAGACTTCCAAAGACTCCACCTGGCTGGACCCAGGCCAGACATCGGCAGGGAATCCTGGCTCCTCCTGGATCCCATCTGATGCGTGTTAGCTCCCTCTGGGCGCGAGGTTCCTGTTCCACACAGCTTGGAGGTTGTTTTTTTGACCTCAGCTGATGCTGTCCTGCTGCAGGTGAAATTCCCCAAGGAGAGAGCTTTGCTGGGGTAGGAACCTGCACCCCCAGATAGTACATGTACAACAAAATCAATTAAAACAATGAATTGATTCTGACTCCCAGAGACCCTACAGGACCGAGTGGAACTACTCCTGTGGGTTTCTGAAACTGTCCAACTTTCCGGGAATAGAAAGTGTCATCTTTCTCCCTTGGAGCGGCTAGTGGTTTAGAACTGCTGATTTTATAGTCAGCAGCGCAACAAGAAACCCACTACACCATCAGGGCTCCATGTATATATAAAAGGGGCCTTTAAAAAAGGTTGGTGGGGAAATTTGATTATCTTTTAATTCCAGTTTTCCATTAATTATCTTTTAATTCCATTACTTCTCGGAACCCCCCTCATATGGGCCCTTCCCCAACTCCTTTTGACTGCCTACTAAGGCTGGATCCATTATCTGGTATCTTTTTTTCTCCTCAATCTGGTGTCCCCATAGAGCTTGGCAGGTGGAGGCCACAATGCTAAGTGAAATAAGTCAAGCTTATGAGGACAAATATTCTATGAGTCCTCTTTTACAAGAAGACCAGATAGATATAGACCCCTATAAAGAATCAATATTCATGGGTAGTTATCAGGGAGTGGGGTGGGGGTGGAGGTACGAAAGTACACTTTACAAAAAAAAAAAAAAGAAAGTACACTTTACACTGTAGAGATTTGTGTATGTGTGTATGTGTGTGTGTAACAGGACATATGGCACTGAACAGGGAGCACAGTCGAAATGCGTGAGTAGGGCATATGGATGGGGACAGGCATACTGGTAAGTGGGTAGGTACAGGTGGGTACATAGGTGAGGAGATAAAAGTATCCATAACAAACAGACAGACAGACAGACGGCTTTCAAAGATGTACATTTTTCCTGGCAGCACTGTCATGCTTTTCTCCCACGGAGTGGCAGCTGGGTTCAAACTGCTGCTCCTTTGGTTAGCAGCCCAATGCTTGTGTCACAGAGCCACCAGGGCTCTTTAACGCACTGCTATTGAGCCAGTCCTGACACACAGCAACTCTGTAGGGCAGGGTCGAACTGCCCCTGTGCGTTTCCAAGACAGTAACTGTTCACAGGAGTAGTCAAAAGCCACACCTTTCTCCTGAGGAGCAGCAGGTGGTTTCGAACTGCTGACCTTGTTAGCATCCTAACGTGTAACCAGCTACCCCACGAGGGTTTCTTGCAAGTACCTGTAGTTATGTGTACATAGAAATACGTGAGTGCAGCTATATCTAGTCACTGAAGACACAAGTTTAGCTACTCCACACACATAAGCAAACACCTTCCAAGACTGACTTTCCAGGTTTGGAAGCTTAGGATCCTAGCCTCCTGGATCAACTGAGTCCACTGGTATAACACACTTCATCAAAATCATGATCTGCAACCCAGGGTGGGGCTTCGCACTTGGGATCTCAACAGCTGTGGGCATCCACCTAAGACACAACTAAGAGTCTCTACTCACCAGGAGCAAAGCCAAGGGCTCAGAGGAGAACTAGGAGCCATAACGTCATCTACCCTGAGACCAGGGCAACTGGAGGGTGCCCAGCTCCCCCCGCTGCTCCTCTGCGGCTCTCAACCTGGAGGTCGCCACTCCTTTAGGGGCCGAATGGCCCTTTCAGAGGGGTGGCCCAATTCATTACAGTAGCAAAATGACAGTGATGAAGTAGCAACGAAAATAATTTTATGGTTGGGGGTCACCCCAAATGAGGAACTGTATGAAAGGGTTGCAGCATGAGGAAGGTTGAGAACCACTGCACTAGATGGTCCCAGTAGAATGGGATAAAAATGTGAAGAAGAAAAAAATGTGGAGCAGAACTCAAATTCTTATTTGAAAAAAGAAAAAGACAAAAAGAGTCAGACCAACTAGAACCGTGGAGAACTGAGGATGCCCCGAGTCTGACACCCTGAGACGTTCTTAGCCTAGAAGTGAACCTGCCCTCTGCGAAACAACAGAGGCACACAGAATACAGGCAATTACTCGAAAGTTCGGTGCCCTCCTGAAAAACTCTCATTCCAAAGGTCCACGATGGCTGCTCCACAGCAAAGATAAGAAGATAAGAGGAAGGGAGAACCTGGCTTGCTATGAACGCCCGGTTAATATAAAAGACAGCCCTGCGGAGTGTGGGTCTACCCGGACACGCATGCCAGCCCCATGGGTCAGAGTTGACTCCCAAGTGACTGGTTTGCAGTCCTGGCTGCTTGCACCCAGCATAGGGCTTGGTAGACAGCAGGGACCCAGCTAAAGGCAAGACCTGGGTTAACACCAAGGTTACTAGGGACTGTGGTGGGGCTGGGGGTGGCTGACGCTAACAGGCTAGATGACGGGGCAGAAGGCTTCCTTAAGGGATCCACACATCACCCTGAAGACATAAGCTATTTATTTTGCCCTTGCTCGGATTCCTGGCAGTCAACAATTACCCCCCTCCCCAGCCCTACAGGGGAGAAGGGGAGAGCGTAATTGTGCCCCACCGAGCTGCTTCAGCTCTAGGAACATCTCTAGGACACAGAGCCCTTGGGGCCAGGGCTCAGAAACCCAGGCTCCTCTAACCGCTAGCTCGGGTCTCTGAGCTGAGGTAAAGTCACTCAGTTGGAAGAGCCTGATGGGGCCCATCTCTGGGCAGTGCCACTCATTTAAGCTGGGAGGTGGGCGGAAGGGAGGGAGGCCTGCGGCTCAGGTGACTCTTGGCTCTGCCTGGAATGAGGACCTGGGACCCAGTCGGAGACTGCCTCTTGAGAGTGGCATGGACAGCCGGTGGGCAGCTGACTGGACAAGAGTGGCCATTTTTCTTTCTAAAATAGTTTTATTGGCATATACTTCACATATCATACAATTTAATATTTCGATCATATTAAGATGAGTTGTACATTCATCACCACAATCAATTTCAGAACATTTTCATCTCATACTCGTTAGCTCCCCAACCTCCCCTGCCATGCCCCTGGGTCATTTTTGTTGTATTTTTAATGGCTCTTATTGCTCAACAATTGCCATGGGATAAGGTGTGTGTGTGTGAGGGTGAGAGTGAACTGTTGTGTGTATATGCAAGGTTATATTATGTGAGCATGTGTGCGTGCACGTGATTGTATTGTGTGTGTTTAAGAGTGTGTTGGTGTGTGTGTCTGTCGTGTGGAAAGTGTGCAAATATTACCTCATTTCGATGGTCAAGTTTAAAGGGACGAGACCATGAAGCATTCATCTTTGTATTCTGCCTGTTTGATAGGCTAAATGCTTACTAAATAGAGCCTGGTCTGGAGAATTGAACTGTAAACCTCTCTACTACAAAGGCCCATCTCTGGCTCCCAAGGAGCACTCTGGTGGATCCAAGGCTACTCGCCATATTCCTTCAATCTCATCGTGCTGACCATGGGGACGCCAACAACCGGGACAGTAAGAGGCCACCTTCCTGTCAGTCCCTGGTCTGATCTAATTGCTCCTCCATCCCTCCCTTGTGGTCATCGCACTCCTGCATGGGCTGGATGCACACTGCACCCACTCCTAATTTGGGCCTCATTAGGGTATGTTCTCGGGGTCGTAGGGCTCTGAAGACACACTGGCTTGGGGTCCCAGAAATAGGAGGTGGGTCTAACAAACATATTCAGGCCGCTGCATCTGGGGGCTGGCAAGTTGAAGTGTAGTCAGGAACCTGCAAGAGCACGTGCAGAGCTACCAGAGCGGCTGCCACTTTGATTTTTCAGCGTGGTAAAGCCAGCCTGCCAAGGTCAGGTCCATGCCTGGCAAGATGGTGAGCCTGTGAACTCAGGACTGAAAGGGGCCTTCATTTAAACGGGGCTGAGATTCACTGTCAAGTCAGCAAGGTACTTGGGCATCTGGTGTTATCTCTGTAGACAGAACTCTGGCCTGGCACAAGGCCGATTTGTAGCAGCCAAAGGTAGAGCGAACATCTGGAAATAATCGGATTCCTGCTGGCCCAGAGCCTCAGCTGGGACAACGGGAAGCTCGGGGTGGCAATCAATACTAAACATACTGACAGGTGGAGCAGGGTCTCTGACGAAGGTTAACAGGGCAGACATCCTGTACTTGAGTTCAAAACACCAACCCCCATATATGTGAGGGCTTCAAAAAGTTTTTTTGGGGGAAAAGCAAAATCTTTTAATTCCATGTTTTCCATGAACCTTTTGAAAGTCCTGGTATAAGAGGAAGAAGATAAAATCGAAGACTGTCGGAGTCTGATGCATAGACATGCCACTGCCCATCCAAAGGCCGGCGGGAGGAAGCTACCCGGCTGCTTTGGGGGAGTGAACTGTGGCAACCGGCTTCAATAAAGATCACAGCATTGGAAGTTTTCTGCCCTCTAAGGTCACTGGCCATCACTTGTCAGTTTATCACACTGTGCTGGCTGTGTGTTGCTGTGATGCCTGTTTCAAAGATTGCTCAAACTATGGAACATCGTTGATATCATACGCAAGTAAAATTTTGCCGAAGATGCTCCAACAACAGTTACAGCAGTACATCGACAAAGAGCTGTCGGAGGTTCAGGCTGGATTCAGAAGGGGATATAGAACAAGGGATATCATGGTTGATGCCGGGTGGATCTTGACTCAAAGCAGAGAATATTTGTGTTTTATTGACTATACCAAGGCATTCGACCATAATAAACCATGGATAATCTTGAGAAGAATGGAATGGAAATTCCAGAACACTTCATTGTACTTATCTGGAACTTGTACATGGATCAAGAGGCAGATACGTGAACAGAACAAGGGAATGCCGCATGGTTTAAAATCAGGAAAGGTGTGCATCAGGGTTGTATCCTCTCACCATACTTAATCTGTATGCTAAGCAACTCATCGGAGAAGTTGAATGATCAGAAGAATGCAGTCTGGGGATTGCTCATTAACAACCCACAATATGCAGATGACACAACCTTGCTACGGAAAGCGAGGATGACCTGCAACACTTGCTGATGAAGATCAAGGACCGCTGCTTTCGTGGGTCACCATCGATTGGTTAGAGTACAACACAATGGGAAGATGGCCAAAATCCTCACAGCTGGACCAACAGGTCCCATCAGGATAAATGGAGAAAAGGTGAAGTTGTCAAGGATTTTGTCTTGCTTGCATCCCCAATCAATGCTCATGGAAGCAGCAGTCAAGAGATCAAAAGACGTGCTGCATTCGGTACATCTGCTGCACTAGAGTATTGAAGAGCAAGGATGTTGCTTTGAGGACTAAGGTGCGTCTGACCCAAGTATTCCGCACTGCATCATCTGCATGTGAAGGCGGGACTCTCAATAAAGATCGGAGAAGAATCGATGCATTTGAATCGTGGGGCTGGTGAAGAATCCTGAAAGTACCACGGGCTGCTTGGGAAGAAGTAAGGCCAGAGTGCTCCTCAGAGGCAAGGATGGAAGACTTCAGCTTCCGTGCGTTGAACGTTGTTGTCAGGGAGACCAGTCCCCGGAGAAGGACATCATGCTTGGTGAACTGGAAGGGTGGGGAAAGGGGGCAGACCCTCGATGAGCTGGATGGGCACAGTGGCTACAGCCGTGGGCTCGGGCACAGGAACCACTGTGACGCTGGCGCAGGACCGGGCAGTGCTTCGTTGTGCACAGGGTCACTGTGGGTCAGTACCGACTTGAAGGCTCCTGACGACAGGGTTGTTATGAGTCAGAATCGCCTCCGGTTAATGCCTGGGTCGCATATTAGGGTCCCTTTTTGGCCGACGGTCTTTGGGCTCTAACCAAAGAGGCAGCAATGGCCAAAGCTCAGGGATCCACGAAAGAGAATGCAGTGGTTGGTGCCCTGGACCCAAGGACGCGGCCACTCAGGCAAACTTGGGACCTTGTGTGACTTCTCTTATCCTGTCAGAAGGCCCACCTCCTACAGTTGTTTTTGTTGGTGGGGGGAGGGGGGGATTCAGTCTCAGTATGTGAGGCAAATTTTTGCCCATTAGCACCATAATTAGTATTTTTGGGAACACAGACTCTAAGATACTCTGGAGCCTTGGTGGCTGCTACCCGCAAGGTCAGGTCCAACCCACCGGCCACTCAGGGGAAGAGGCGGCTTTCTGCTTCTGTAAAGACTGACAGCCTCGGAAACGGCACAGAGCCAGTCTACTGTCTTATAGCGTCACTATGAACCAGAATTAACTTGATGGCAGTGACCTTAGAACTCCAAAGTTTTGCCAGAAGAGACATAACAAAAACAACCGTTGCCTCCCAACATGTGGCGGGATCCTGTCTGGGCGCTGCTGGGTTGGTTGTGACTCACGGTGACCCTGTGTCTGTGCACCAGAACCAAACTGCCCGGCCCTGCACCATGATGACCACGCTGTTTGCACCCGTGGTCCCAGCAAGTGTCAGTCCGTCAGGTCGAGGGTCTTCTTGACCAACGTGAGGCCTTTGGAAAGCCAAGACGTCACATGGAGATGGCTCAGGGGGCTGTCAAGAGCAGCTCCGGCTGCAGAGGGAAGTTGTGGGCCTGAGGGGTGACATCACGCTGGGAGACCCAGGGCCTCGGGGATGGAGCACGTGGGTCCCGGCTGACCCTGAGATGCTAGGTCCTGCTACTTTGGGCTCCCTCAGCCTAGAGGGAAGTCGCGCACAGCCACCACGCTCCAATAGAAGTCCACCTCACAGTCACAGGTTGTCAGGTGCCCTTGCTTGGGTCGGTTCCAAATCCTAGCAACCCCAGGTGACAGACGCCCGAGACTTCCGAGGCTGGTGTTCTCTTCACAGGGACTGGCCTTCCGCTGCACACTGATGGTCTCAACGTGTGCATTCATTCTCCTTTAGGAGGGGCGGCAAAACTCAGGAGAGTCCTGGGGGCGGCCTGCGTGGCCTGCTGCTGTGACTAACGGGGATCTGCACCCCCAGTGGTTGAGACTTCACTAGAAAGCAAAGCCCCCCAAGCGGGGTTTGTCTTCTGCCCTCTTTCCCATACCAGGCCTGACGCCCACGAAAAACGGCTGTCCTTCAGGAAGCCTCTCGTTCAGTAGTTCAGATCAGAGCCTCTCCTGAGGGTGGCCTGTTCTGCCCGCCAGCCCCAACTCCCCTGACGAGCTGGGTGGTGACTGCACACACGCAGGACAGACAGCAGCCAAGAGCTCTGTGAATAAAACTTTTAATAATGTACAGCAGAAATTGGACAGGCTCATTCTTATATTAAAACAAAAGATTTTCTATATTACAATGTATTTACAGTTGCATACTGAAGAGGTAAAGTGTCTAAGTGACTATCTTACAGTCCTTTCTAATAAAATATACAAAAACAAACAGAAGTACCGAGAATGCCGTGGGGGTAGAGGGGCGGCTTGGCGCCAACAGACCGGCTTGGACTTGGTCTGCAAATCCAGGTCCACAGGTGCAGGCAGCTCTATGGATCAAGGTTCGCCTCAAGGGGCCCCAAACCACGGCTTTAGTTTCTCCCCAACTCTTGCTTGGTGTTACGAGTGTGTGCGTGTGCATGGGTGGGTGGGTGGGGGAGTATGAGAGCGGGGGTGGGGTGAGGGGTGGTCCCCCAAATGTCTTCCCAGCGGTGGAAGAGCTGGACTTGGGGCGGGGAGAGCACAGAGGGAGTCGCTAGGCCGACATGTTGTGGGTGGGGGCGGGAGAGTGGGCGTCCAGGCATCGCTGACGACCCTCCACAGCTCGCATCAGCGGAGCCCCGCAGGGTGGGAGATT